TCTTGTCACATTCCTTTCTCTCAGACACATATTTAAAGACAAAACTTTTATATATAAATCAGGCTCCAAGAAACCCTCAATTTTTAATTTAGCCATTTCTATTCATACAGTATGATCTAAGATCGTACAGTATGATCAGTTCAAAATATCCGTCGTCCTGGTATGAAGAAGTATGAACAAGCAATTTTTCTAAACAACATCGTACATTACCATATGTTATATTCCTTCTGCTCATACAGGACAAACACTGGGGCAGTGAAAACTCATCTCTGTTCATCATCTTGTATGATTCACTTCAGGCAATATGATATATTAAAAGCTTCAGGTCACCCAATATTATGTTCACATCATCTAGTATAATTAGTTCAAAAATCAAGGGATCATCCGGTACGATGTTCAGGATGATCGAAAATAGTCTCAGTTGATCATACAATATGAACAATATTATACAGTATGATAACCAATCATAAATTAATCCTTAATTTATTGACTAATCAAGGGGGTTAATTTAAGTAAGTATTCAAATATTTATATAGTATAATTGGATCATACAGTGTGATGTGTTCAAAATTTATGATTTAGGAACTTACTTAAATTAATCTAGTAGGTAGGGTTTTTAATTAAAAACACCTCATACAGTATGATAATTATCATACAATGTGATTTATTTACAGATAACCATTGAGCCACAATAGGTTATACAGTACGATTGAAAATAGTACAATATGATCTAAGAAAAAAAAATTTATTATTTTTCTAAAAAACACCCTCTCCCTTTGTGTGTGTGCGTGTGTATTGTTGCTCAGTTTATATACACTTTGTGACCAGACTCAAGAAAACAAAGAATATAAAATAAATGAAAATTACAGAGTTATAGACTTTACATCCTACTCTACCCAGTCTTGAGTCTTCTTGTTTTCTTGAGTAATATGTGATCTCCCTGAAATGTTAGTACTCATAGAGAAGAGCAAAAATCAAAATATTCAATGAATAATAAAATAATTCAAATCAAAATTATTTGTCATCATTAAAATCTCAGGCTAGAAGTCATGGACTGCAACAATCTCTCTCTTTTTGATGATGTCAAATAATGTTGTCTATACCCAAATTAACATAATTTTTTTATTTTTTTTATAAATATAAAAGTTCAAATAGAAACATGGATAGATAAACAAACATGTATTTAATTGGAATTAAAAAAACATGGTAAATAAGACATCTAAATAAGGCGTGCTAACTAAAGTGCACAAACAAACTTCTCCCCCTTTTAACATCACAAAAAAGAGGACAAATAAAAAAAACATAGAAAAACATAAGATAGTGACAAGTCAAAAAGTAGGATCCTGATCAAGTGGTGGTGGAGGTGGTTGAAAGTAGCGGTGGATGAACACAAACGACTGATCAATTGAGGAAAATCTTTTCCCAAACCACCGCATGTCCTCCTCGTGTTGTTGGTGTTGTTCTTGGATCTGAGCATCAAAGTGGCTTTGGAGTTTGTCGAATCCTTTGACTAAATCATCGTGAGGATAAGCAGGTATAGAACCTCCGAGTGGTGCATAATGTCTTGGTGGAGCAGGTTCTTCTACTGGAGCAGCCTTTCCTTCTTCATCAAAATCCTGCTCAGGCTAGGGGTCATGGACTGTAATAGTGCCTAACAAGAAAAAAAAGGTAAAAATATGCTTTATGTGGAATCCCGGTGATCCCGGGCTTACTTCTTAAAAGCATTAGAGTTTCCATGTTATCAAAAAATTTATTTTGGTTTTAGTAGAAAAATTTTTGGCATACCCTCATGAACTTTTATGTATTTAGGCTAAAATAAAATTGACACCCAAAAAAATAGAAAAAGCAGTCAAGATCCTATACATAAGTAAAGTAAATCATATATAAATAAATATAATTAATTCCTGAAATTAATATCTATAGACAAATGCCCCATTTATTACAACCTAGAATTATATAAATTAATGTCTTCTCCTCCTCATACTCTTTGGACTCATTGTATTTAGATATCCAAATGGGAAAGAAAACTTTGCCCTCGAGGGGGAGGTTATTCTTCCCACTTTTGATAGTAGAGTGATCCAAAATTTAGCTTCTAAATGAAAAAGTACTATCCCACTAAACGATATGCTTTCCTATTTGGAATTCAATTTTTGTTTTGAGTTTCCCAAACACAAAGACTCTTTTACAACTCTTAATTTTGAATGAATTATGTTGACATAAAAATAAAAAAATTCTAGACTCTCATGTAGGATTATTCTAAGCATTTAAATATAAAATAATCCCATGTAGTTATATAATAAAATTAAAATTGTTCAATCAAGCGACGCTTGGTCGTGCTCTTATTTATTTTGGGGCTAAGCAGGTTGAAACACCTTTAGCATTTATAATGATTATTATTTTTTAGCCCCCTTTTATTGCCCTACAGGAGCACAATCACCTGCATAAGATTGAATTAGTATAAATAATCCTTAACTTAGTGGCAAATCTAACACACAACCAATCATTTTACAGAGTGCAGAAATTAAATAAATAATCACATCAACATATTTTTAACCAATATGCAATGAAATCTAAAAAAACCTGCAAATATTAGAAAAGTAAAAGCTGAACTAGTCGAGATCTATAGTCAATTATCCTAGCAAACCATCTAAAGTGTGTGAGGTAGGTTGTGTGGCTTGGATATGTCATATATAGGATATTTGATTGAGGTTGCTTGTGTTTTGGATGGTTAAAAGGTTTAAAGGAAAGTTAAATTAAAGTTTAAATATTAATGACTTGAAATTAATTTTAAGATAAATTTTTAAGGTTAAATAGATACCACCTTTCTTGCTTATTGAGGCCGTGAAGTTTATTTTACCATCCTTGTGGCTAAGTTAATATCCTCGTAGGCTTGGGTTACCTAGTGGAAACCAATATATTTAAGTGAATTTGATTAATTAAGGTATAAAGGTTAATGAATTTTAATTAAGATTGATTGGTTACTGATTTTTAAAGATAGACTAATTTTTTGTTGATTTTAAATTGATTTTTTTAATTTTTGGAATTTTTTGAATTATTTAAATCATTATATTAAGGGGTTAAAACTTGACTTTTAGATTCGCTTAAATTTTTAGAGTTTTGCTATTTTTTTTTAAATATTAGACCTTTTGATGAGTAATTAGGTTTTGAGTTTGCTTGATTTGGTGTTTTCTATAATTAGTTGTGAATTTTAAAAGTTTGGTATTTATTTGAATTTTTAAATTGATTTAATGAAAGGCCTTTTAATAATTTTGCCCCAAATGAACTGTAAACTAGTTGAAATTAACTTCAAAGGTTAGGAATGATTTAAGGAGATATTTTTAAGTGTTTGAAAATTTCCTGGTATTTTTAAATTTCTTTAACTAATTAAATTATTTTAATATAAATTTTTAATTATAATTAAATTAAGCTTTAATCTGATATCAAATCAAAGAGGTTTTAACTTTCTTAAATTATAGTTTAATATATGGTCAATTTAAGGTATTTTCTATAATTTTTGGATTTAAATTTTATTTTTTAACATTTTTAGAAGTTTTGAGGGTTAATTAAAGGTTTAATATTAAGTTAATTAATTAGGGGGCTTAATGACTTTAAAAATCAGTGATAAATTTCCCTATGGTAGAGAATGTCACTAAGTTTAAGTGTCTTAAATCTCATGTGAATAAGAAGTATATCCTAATTTCTAAAAAAAATCTAACTTATCTAAACATATCCTTAATTTTTATCCTTTAGATGTCACTAGGTTGAATGGGCTGGCACTAATGTTCCATTAACCCTCAGATGAGCATATGAATACAAATACAATAAAAACTAAGTTCCTAAGTCTAGGAGAGCCTATGCTAAGTGTGAGTATGTGCACTCTAAGCACACAAGGACTAAATATGATTAACTTAGACAAAATTTTAAATTGTAAATTTCCTAATATCATCAAAGTGTAGAGAGAAGTTAGAGAGAGAAGTTATGAGGAAATTTTAGAAGTTGCGGCTGTGTTTTAAAAATTTGAAAATCACAGGTTTTCCGCTGAAGCTCATGGCGACGGAAGGTCGCCGGCCACCTGCTTTCGGTGGGGTTATGGTGGTGCGACGATCATCAATTGGTAATTCTATTGGATCAGTTCGGTCTTCTTCATCGTCTCCGCCTGCATTCAGAGACATCCATCCAAGCTTTGTACAAGGATCAAAGGAAAAGCTGCGTACTGGAATGCCGTTGGTTATCAAAGAAGGAGGATCCCTTTTGCCTCCCAAAAATGCTCCTGAAGTTGAAGGAAAAGGGAAATTTCTGATGGTTGACAATGGAACAAATGTGCAAATGAAGAAAATTGGTTATTCTGGAATCTTACAAAAAGGAGAAGCTTCTCCTTCATCAATGTCAATACTAAAGATGATAGCAGAAGGAAATAATAGCATTTGTAAAGAATCTGTTTTACAAAATGCCACTGTTAAGATGAATGTAGCAGATCGTGAGCTAGATCATGCTGAGGCTGAAACAGAAATTTTTTTTTTCTGAAAATTATTGATAAAATAGACTCTACAAGTCAAAACACAAAGAAATCTGATCTGGAGCAAGTTCGAGAATGTGACAATGGTGATTTGGGTTTGTGCAAGGATTTTGTGAATAAAGCTACAGAAAGACCAAAACAAATAAACCAACAAAATGCTTGGAGCAAGAAGGAACATATAAAGGTAGCTCATCTTGAATTGGGAGATTTTTTATCAGAAGATGGAGCTACAGTTAAACTACATGAGGACAAGGTGATGGAAAATTCTGATAGACTACAAAATTCAATTGTTATCAAGGTTTTTGGAAGCAAAACTCCTTTTCCAGTGATCAGTACAGAACTTAGAAGACAATGGGCATCCTATGGGAAGTTCCATCTAACGATGTTAGGATTGGATTGGGTGCTTTGCTCTTTTCACGAGAAAGAAGCTATGGAGGCTGTATAATCTAATGGCCCTTGGTTTGTAAATGGCAAAATCATTGGGATGGACAAGTGGTCTGCAAGCTTCAATCCGACTTCTTTAAAAGGTTTAAGTGCACCTATTTGGATAAGACTTCCAAATCTTCCACTTCTATGTTGGGATGAAATCAACATCTGTAGAATTTCTTCACTGGTTGGAAAACCATTATTGATTGACGGCAACTTGTTCCAATGGGGTAGAAGGGAGTTTGGAAGAGTTTGTGTTCGTCTTAATTTGGACACAAAACTACCCATGGGAATTTGGGTGGAAGGAAGTATGGGAAAGTTATTTCAAAAAGTAGAATATGAAAGACTTCCAAAATTTTGCTATCATTGTGGGAGAATTGGCCATAATACAAACTATTGTCTGGAAAAACATCAAAATAATGAAACATTTGGTTCAGACAAAACTGAGGAGAACACTAAAAAATTTCAGGATGACAGCTTGTATGCAGAGAAAGTTATAGCTCCTAATGCTGAAATTTCTGGGTACGGCCCTTGGCTTCAAGTCAACTATGGCAGAAAGAGGAATTTTAAAAATGTTACCGGGAACTCTATCTTACGGGCTGATAAGAAAAATGTTCTTTACAAAACTACTGTTGGTGGTAATCAGCCTATTCGGAAGGCAGTTGAAAAGATAAAAACTACTAATGTGGAGGCTTCGGGTATTCATACAGAGGAAGTCATTCAAGATTCTCAATCTGTAAAGGAGGTTCATCCAGCAATCAATAGTGGAAAAGATATGAATGTTACTTCTTCCAATTATTTAGTAAACAAATTCAGTATTCTGGAAGATTTAATAGAGGAAGGTGAAATCACTTATTCAGAAGTAATTGAAAACTTAGTGTGTGAAAATAAAGAATCTTTAAGTCATATTCCAAAAGATAATAATGTCAACAACAATGATCTTAAATTGGTTAAGGAGATCAAAGATGGAACATCTGCTAATATCAAAAGGAAAGGTTCTAAATAATTAAAATGTTTAGGCCCTATCAATACAACTCCAAGGAGTAGAAGAGCTGATAATGAACCCAAAGATAAGTTGGGGTCCTCACCCCCTCTTATTCAATGAACTCTTCCATAGAATTTTGGAATTGTAGAGGAGCTAGGAAGAGAAGAGCTTCTCTATACTTGAAGGAATTTGTGAAAGAATATGGGGTCTATTTTATTGGTTTATTGGATACCAAAATAACATCTTTTGAAAGAAACGATGTGGATCAACTTATAGGTTATGAATGGGATTTTTATCATGTTCCCTCAGAAGGGCTTCCAGGAGGAATTCTTGTGATTTGTAGATCAAACAATACTTCTTTTCAAGTCTTAGAATCTTCTCCACAATTCATTGTGTGAGACTTGGAGGTGCTAAATAAAGGTGAATGGAGGATAGCTTCAATTTATGGCAACAAGGATGTTTATGTAAGAAGAATGCTTTGGGAAAGACTGAAATTCTTTGCTTCTAAGGAGATACCTATGATCATAGGAGGTGATTTCAGTTGTATTTTATCAAAAGATGATAAGAGGGGAGGGAGAAGATTCAAACTATCCCTTGGAACAAAAGAAATGAAAACCTTCCTTGCTAATAATGACTTTCATGAATTAGGTTTTGTGGGACCTAAATTCACTTGGTGCAACAATAAGAAAGGAGTGGAATGTATACATGAGAGACTTGATAGATGTTTCCTCAACCCGGCTGCTCTTTCTACTAACAATCGATTCCTTGTTATGCATTTGGCTCGGGTGGCCTCCAACCATTGTCCAATCTTATCAAATCTTACAAGTCATCAAGCAAATAAGAAGCTCATTAGATTTGAAGATGTATGGGCCTCCAACAAAGCATCTATGGCTGTGGTGGAGAAAAAATGGAAAAGAAAATGCAAAGGTAATCCTTCCATAGTTTTAAACTGCAAACTGAAAAATTCACTCAAGGCACTATACTATTGGAGTAAAGCAAAGATGCAGAATCTCTTATCCCTCAAAAAAGAATTGTTAATTCAAATTGAAGAGCTTCAATCCAAGGAAGCCAAAGAAGGAATTTTATCAGATGAAGAATGCTTGATGCTGAATTTAAAAGTGGGAGAATTAAATTCTACACTTGCCCGGTTAGACACTTGGTGGAGACAAAGGGCCAAAGTAAAGTGGATGATGGAGGGAGACCAAAATTCAAAATTTTTTCAAGCTTATGCATTAGCTAGAAGGAATTCCAACTTCATTTCCAAGATTAAGAATAGTTTTGGAGAAGTGGTAGAGGATCAATCTATTATTCAAAATGTCTTGACAAATCATTTCAAGGATAAATGGAGATTTCGCTGCTGCAATTTAGATGAATGGCCAACTACTTGGAGCTGTCTTAATGCGGAGGAGAGGAGTATTCTAAGCAAATCATTCATGATTGAAGAAATGATTACATCTATAAAACAAATCGGTAACAACATTTCTCCAGGTTTAGATGGCATTATTTTCTCTTTTTTCAAAGCTTATTGGGATATAATCAAAATTGATTTATGGAATGCCTTAAATTGTTTCTTTGAAACTTGTATTATGGACCCCAATTTGAAGGAAACTATAATTATATTGATTCCTAAAATCATTAAACCTTTAACTCCTTCTAATTATAGACCAATTAGTTTATGTAATTCGGTCTATAAATTGGTGGCAAAAATTCTTATGTATAGATTGACTCCTATCATGCCTAAATTGATCTTAGAAGAACAAGCGGCGTTCATCAATGGAAGATCTCTATCTGACCATGTATTAAAAGCTCAAGAGGTCATGTATAAATTAAGGATATCTAAATCCTTGAAAGGCTTTGCCACTTTCAAAGTTGATATGGAACAAGCTTATGATTCCATGGGTTGGTTAACCTTGGAAAAAGCTTTGAATTAATTTGTTTTCCCTTGGTATTTCTCTAAACTGATTTTAGAATGCATTTAAGATTCTAAATTCTCTATTTCTATCAATGGTATCTTGTCTAATTGGATAGATGGGCATTGTGGCTTTAGACAAGGTTGTCCCTTGTCTCCTTATCTTTTCATCCTTTGTGCACAATTATTATCAAATGCTTTTAAACAAAGAAGTGATTCCTTGGGAGTTTGTATATGTGAAAATGGTCCTTATATTTCTCACTTATTATATGCTGATGACGTAATAATCTTATTGGAAGCTTCTCTCAAAGCTATTAAAGAAATAAAAACTGTTTTGGCAAATTTTTGCAGTTGGACAGGATTAGCAGTGAATGTCAATAAATCCTCTATGATCTTTAGCAATAATGTAAGAAGAAGGAGGAGAAAGTCTATTGGCCGTATCATGGGATTCAAAACAACAAAACAACTAACTTATCTTGGTGTTAAACTTGCCATGAGAAGGTTAGTCAAAGAACAGTTTCATTTCATTATTGACAAAGCTTTGAAAATGACAAACACTTGGGGTGGTAGATTAATTTTTGTTGCTGGAAAGATCATGCTTACAAAGACTATTTTATTATCCTTTTCTACATTTCATTGCACTAACTCCCTTGTTCCTAAAAGCATTCTTGATGAAGTTGACAAAATTTGTAGATGCTATATTTGGAACAAATCTAATGGTAGAAATGGAATTCATTATGTGAATTGGCTTACTATGTGCTTACCAACCAAATGGGGAGGTAGAGCACTTCATTCTTGCTCTAATAAAGTTGGTCCTTTAAGATCCAAAATTGCTTGGAAATATATAAAAGATAAAGAATCTTTTCTCCACAAAGTTTTTTATCCCAAATATGGAAATCTGTTAGAAAAGCTGGATAGTAAAAGTTCAAGTTCTCTAGCCTTGAAAATTCTGAAATCTGGAGGAAATTCGTTGAAGCCATTGATTAGATAGAGGATGGAAAATAGTAGAAACATTGATACGGTCAATGACATATGGATCTTGGATAAACAAATTGCTAAATGGCCAACATTTATTACACCTTTAGATAACATCAAATTCAACGTTTCCAGTTTTTTCTGTAATGGAAAATGGGATTTGGAAATCATGAGTAGATTCATGGGAGATGATTTAATTAATCTTATCCTTCAGAACATTGTTCCAAGCGGGTTGAATGAAGATTCTATGGAACTTATGTATCAACTCAATGGAAGATCCTTATCTTCCATGGCATTTGAAATCTCGGTTAATCATACAGAACATAACATATTTTGGAATTGGATGAAGAAAGCAAAGCTAAACCCAAAGGTTGAAACATTATGGTGGAGATTTTTAACAATGGCCTTCCCACTTATGAATTTTTGGAACATAGAGGACTACAAAGGGATAATTTATGCCCAAGAAGCTGTAATGCTATTAAAAACAGAGATCATATAGTAGCTAATTGCAACAAGTTGAAGGAAGTTGTTAAATACATCAAAGAATGGGGTTTTGTATTTCAAGATTTTCACTCTATGGCTAATTGCTATAAGCATTTCTCAACACAAACTCCATTTTTTATTAATCTTTACTGCTCGGTGGTGTATTTCACTTGGAAGTCAAGGAACAACTTTATTCATAATGGAAAGGAAGACAGTTCTTTAATCTTAGCTTCCAAAGCAATTAATTATGCTTCTTTTGTTAATCTTGGGAATGGAAGAATTTCGGGTATATAGGATATCAACCAACCTTCTAGGTTGTTCAATACTCATTGGCATCCCCCTCCACCCGATTGGCTCAAAGTTAATGTAGATGCTTCATTACTTTCTTCTTACAAAGCTGGAATTGGAGGAGTTTTCCGTGACCATAAAGGTAGATTTCTACTTGCATTTGGTAAATCATACACTCATTGGGATATCTCAGCTTTGGAACTATTAGCTACTCAATCCATCAAAGAGATGCTAAAAGATTGGATGTTTAAATACAAGGGAATCATCATAGAAGGTGATAATTCCAATGTCATAAAGATCTTGAAGGAGGTCAAGCAAAATGGAGGGAAAAGGTACAGAAATATTCATTTGTTTAATGAATTTAACAATGTCATTTTTAATTGTGTTGATAGATGTTGTAATAAGTTAGCAGATTTATGTGCTAACTATGGTATCTTTTCTTATTTTATTTGTGATGATGTTAGTTTAAATAATATTCCTCCTTTATTTATGTCTATTTTAAAGGAGGAATCAACAATTATGAGTCATTAGTCTGTATTAAAATTATTTTCTTCCTTTAATGCTATTTTATTGCATTCTCCTCAAAAAAAAAAAAAAAAAAAAAAAAAAATTTCATTATGTTAATAAAGATATTTTGCTCATATGAAATAATTCTTTGCCTCTCCCCATTGAAATAGACCACTCATATTGTCAAGAGTATAACAAGGATCACGTTTGATGCTTCTTGTATATCATGGGGAGAAATAACTCAGAAGTATATGCATATGATTTTATGAATTTGAGGTAACATATTAAATTTATATAATTTTCTATTTAAATAATTCTACTTCTTTTATTTTCATAACTTATTATTTATCATATAGAAAGATTTTAGGTGGCTTCCCAAATATAAGGATAAAACTAAATAAAATTTTGAAAAAGGAGGCTCAAGTCACTTTGGAGATATGTTGATTGATATTTATTAGCTAAGCAAGATGCCGTTATGAATAGGCAAGAACATTTAGGTTGAATTATGAAAAACTTGGAGCATTCTTGATTTAGCTAAGAAGATAGTAAAGAAATAAAATAAAATTTAGCTTATGATTATAGGGCCATGGACATGCATTTTGTTTGGCAATTTTTTGATAAATTTTAAAAGTTGTCTCAAAATTATTTTATTATTATTATTATTATTATTATTTGTAGAAATAAGTACTTGGAGGATAACCTATAACTTTGGAGCTATAAACGTGTATTATCCGCATCAGAAGGATCAATAATGAGTTGACCTTAAATCATTAAAAGCCTATGTAAGTATTAAAAGTTTTAAACTATTATTTATGTAATGCATTCTAATTATATTTTATAAATTATAAGAGGACTATGT